GCACATCTGAAGCGGTTAGGATTGTGCTTCAGGACTGTGTTGTATAGGAATAAATTTAGTTGCTTGGTAGGGTGCAATTCAGGGTTGAAAGAATGTCATTTGCAGCTTAAACACAATGGAATCACTCACTGCGACAATCAGAAATTGATTTTGTTTTGAATTGCAGGGTATTTGAGGTTAGGAGCACATCAGACACTTCAAGAACTGTTTTTCTTGTCCCCACACAGACATTGACATAAACCGCCTAGGCTGAGCTTGTTCCTGGCAAGAGATGAACTAGAAGGAGCTCCCAGATTTGGCAGATAAAAGAGAATGCAGAGCCAGAGGGCAAACAGGAAAAAAATAGGCTTTTCTTCTCACCACAGCTACTGTTTATTTTCATATTTCCCTAGTTTCTTAGTTTTTTGGGCCATTAGTTTTCTGCCTTGGACATTGTGATCTGGGTGCAATTGAACTGGAGGATTTCAGTGATCTGTATCCCAGTCCTGTACCTCAGAACTGACACAGCTACTGGGGAATGTTCTACCTATGCGCTCGGTTAAATTCTGTAATTGAATCCTTAGTAATAGGTTTAAGTTGAGCACTTTCATCGTTTTCAGTTCCCAAACAATTAGGAGGTCCTGCCTTTTCAATATTGCATTTCTTAAGTAACAAAACCTTTGAGAAGGAAACAAAAACTTGCAATGGTTCTAACCAAAAACTGTTAGTCCTACTAAGGATTTAATGCTAAATACTAATCCATTATAATTTATTATAATATTAATCCATACATTTTAAGTGTTTACATAATAAATATTGTAAATAATAATCCATTTATTATAGTTTATTCATTATAACATTTAATTGCAGTGAATCGCCATGTGCTTCGCTAAAAGATCTTAAAAACCAATTACTAAGAAGGGAAAAGACAGTTTATAATGCTGGAAGTGGACAGGCATTCTAGTACAGAAGGGTTTTAGGATCTATTTTAAAGGTTTAAGGGGAATTGCACAACTGTTTTTATATTTCAGGGTTAGAAAGAATCGGCATTGATGAGGGCATTTCAACCGCAGTAAAAAAGTCAGATGTACACAGTCACTTGTAAATCCTCCAATTTACATCACAAAATAGACAGAATTTCCAGGTATGCTCAGCGCCATGTTCTGTGATTCAGAACGAGGCAACCAAATGTCCGGTGAGGTGAAGCAGCCCTATTACATCGTAAGCAAGCAGGCTTGTGAATACATCTCTTTTAATCCAATAAAAATATTGCTCTTGATTTCAAGACAGTTTTGCCAGACCATACTGCCTGTTAACTCTGCATGCAGATCATGGAGGAACATTCCTGTGGTGAAATGTCTGCTGCACAACCCATACTTGTTTTCACGTACATAACATTACGTCAGTTATTACAGTGACTAGTGAGCAGGAAGGGCCGCTTCATATCTTCACATCGCAATCACGCAAACTCTCACTCTTGCCTGTGGCTACAGGACTTTCACAGAGTCAGAATTTAGAATCAATCAGTCGTAAATTATTTGGATTTGCTTTGATGCTATATAATATCTTTTTTAACCATGCCGCTGTCTCTGAGAGAAAGTCAGGTGTGCCAAGTCCTTGCAGGGAAGCTCAGGGAAGGTTCCAAGTTCAGATTATCTCAACATCTTTGGGCACCAAATCCCAGCTCACTTTTTCCAAAGTTGTTCCAGTTAAAGAGGATTAATAAAATAAGAGGTTTCCACTAGTACAGCAGAGATAAAGCAGATCCTCTTCTGAAGAAAGAAAACAGTGTGTTCAGAAGCAGCAGTCTGTCTTGCTGTGGGCAACCACAAGACCTTCAGCATGGTATCGAGTCAAACATGCCTTGAAATCTAGTCAAGTTTAGAGAAGAAGTTAAGACACAATTTCAGATAAAGGGTGGCTTACTGTAACTGCAGACTGTGACCCATTGAATGGTTGGCTCACGTTGGAGGAAATTAAGTTAGTTATTCTGGATTTCTGGAGTTAGAGCACCAAATGTGCTACTTATGGCTAAATTGGTCATCATTTGAGGTACGTGAAGGAGAAATAAAAGGAAAGTTACTGTTTTTTTATAAGCAAATTACAATGCGGTCAAAATCCACTCGTTACCACTTCAATTGAGTTTTTTTTTGTTAAATGCCAAGTTAGAGTCAGCCCTTTAATTTGTGCCTAGTAAATGCATATTAATAAAGCAGTTGGTTTTATTGCGTGCAGGCCAGGGTATCCACTGTGTCATGGAGGAGCAGTCAAGAAGGGTGCAAAGAATTTATCATGGAAGGAAGGCGTGTTTTTATTTCAGATGACAGGGCAAAATAAAATGAGACTGTAATTAGACATTAATTAGTCAAGTTGAATTATTGTGGGGGTTCCCTCTGGAAGGTGATAGTAACCACCCACCAGTATGACAGTTAAGCGTCCTGTCTCTGAAATACACTGGTATAGGTTTGTACCCTTTTCAGGCTTTCAATGACAATCCCAAATGTGCCTTCTGCCTCTGGGGCATGTACAGTAGGTTATGATACAGTATGATGATACTTTGTCTGATTTCTGAGAATTTTTTTAAAACAGTACGAGAAACATCGCATTACATAATCATACAGGAATCCCCACAACTATACCAGAACCCAGGCAAATATACTCCCCCCACAGTTACACTAAGCCCCTATAAGCCCTATAATCACACATGAACCTGTCACTTTTGCATATAATCCAGTGATAGTACTTTCCCATAAACCATTACTTATTTATTGATTGAGTATTTGATAAAGGAATTCCTCATTTAGTTAAGTCTTCATTGAGGGCATTTAAAAAGGCTGGAGTTGATGCAGGACAGGGTGTCATTGTGTCTAAAGGCTGGAGTAGATGCAGGACAGGGTGTCATTGTGTCTGAAGGCAGGAGCTGACGTTGCAGTGTATCTGCCTCGCCTCCCCACCCCTCCCCCAGCCAAGCACAGGGCCCACACAGATGTGCCCCGCTGTGGGCAGTCTCCATATTCAGCAGTACCTCATGCTGGTGGTGTGGGATACAGTGATTTTGTTTGCGAGACTTCCAGTCAATGTGCATCACCAGCAAGCCACATTACATCAAATCCATAAAAGGGAGCTATTAATAACACCAGGGCTTTTAATTTTCAGAGTCACACTGGGAAACGTGGGAAGACCCTTTGAAGGACATGGTTGCAGTTGAGCCATGACATCAGCTCAGCCACATAAAATGTTGTGACGGATTCACTATTCTGGAAGGCAATTTAGGGCAGGTCTTCTATATGTATGAATCCACAGCATAATGAAAAAATTATGCACCGAAATATTAAATCATAACTTCCACTAAAGCCGAAGAAGGTTTTTTTTTTCCAATTTGTTGAAAGACAAATTCATTTCTGGGCTTGTTAGTACAGAGATCAAAGAATATGGAGTGGCTGATGTTAAGAATGTTGTGTGCAGTAAAACCTTGGTATTCATGAGGGTTAGGTACCTTGAAGTCTCTGTGTATGGTAACTCGCGAATGCAGAACTTGATACCTTCTGGGGGAAAAGGGGTATGGTTCCACTTATCGTGAAACAAGCATTTCTGAAGTAATGTTTTTGTTAGAACTGTTAACTGTTTTGGGCAAGAGAAATGAGCATTGCTGCCTCACAACACTGGGTTTATGGGGTGTTGTCTGCGTGGAGTTTGCATGTTCCCCCCCATGTTTGCGTGGGTTTCCTCCAGGTGCTATGTTTTCCTCCCACAGTCAAAAGACGTACTGGTAGCTTAATCTGCTCCTGGCAAAATTAGCCCTGGTGTGAGTGTGTGCACATTTGTTTTTGTGTCTGTCTGTCCCTCGATGGACTGGCGTTCATCCAGGGTGTACCCTGCTCTGTGCCCATTGCTTGCCAATATACTGTAGGTACCAGCTTCCCCGCAACCCTGGATTGGCAGCTAGAAAAGGGATAAATGTATCTTAACTAGTTCAGAAATAGGTTTAGTGTTTATTGGTAGTAAGTGTTTTAATAAAAAATGAATACTTGAACCTTAAAAAAAAGCCGTTTTTCCTCCTACTATAATTCAAGTCATCGCATGTACTAACAAATAAATTAGATCATTAAATTAAATTAGATATTAAAGCTTACTCTGGATTAGAGTTTTTCTTTATTTTTACATCTGTTTTAATTACTATTACAAATGCAGCACTACTGTATACTTTAATAAAGTTTATTAGAGCAGAGTAATAGCAGACAAGGTAAATTAAGTGTACCCCCCAACCAACTCCCTCTTCAACCTTCTCCTGCAGCTTGTCTAATGCTCATTCTTCTAGTTTCTTTTCATTCCACTTTGGACATTTAATGACTCCATTTGAATCAGTCTGTATTACCATAGTTTCCAAAACATTAAAAACAGTATCACATTATAACAGAAGTGAAGTCAGTAGAAACTTTGATTGATCACTTCCTTCTTTGGCAATGTCAGTGTAATACTTGATCATTTTGGTTCTGCAGCCCAACTTCATTCTTAAAGCCAGGAACTTTTGGTTAGGTGCTAAAGCAGATGCTGGGGATGACTGGCCTGCAGTGGGTGGCACTTGGAATGAATTGATACAGCAATAAAAAAAACACGAAAGCTCACCAGGGGATTCGGAAACGCCACTACAAGTTGTTGAACCCATCCAACACCGGAATGGCATGAAATGCTACAATAAAATGCAGTATTGATAGCTGTGTTGCTCCAGGAGTACCCTGTGCAAATCATTTTGCTAAGGGGTCAGTTTCCACAGATCTTTCTTCGTGAACAGCTGCCAGTCTGATGATTAACTGCAAAGCCTTGAGATGTTGGAATTAGAGCATCAGTGCTTCTGCCAGTCCAGTGCTAAAACTGCATTATCCTTGTCACTTGATAGCAGAGCTCTGATGGGAAAGAGAGTGCATACGGGGGGCGGGGGGTTGTGCTTGATTTTTAATATCATTTAGCCAGCATAATGAAACCGTCCGGATTGTAACACTAGTTATTGTGTTTGGTTGCAGTCCCATCCACTGTCCCTGTGCAACACCAGCGATGACGAGCGACAGGAGAGCATCTTCATCAGCATAGTGAAGCTGGAGAACCCTGAACACAAAGTCCCGCGGTGCCAGACGCTGATGGAAAAGGTAAGGGTGTCGAAGGTCAAGCGCTTTTCACTGACAGGTCGTGGAAAGACCTCTTTAGGGAACCTCGACCGTGCTTTCCAACATACAATATCTGTAAACTTTTTTGGACTCAACGTTCTTTTTAGGATTATACAGTATGTAAGTTCTAAACTGTGTCAGCAAGAGGGGCTACAGACTTTCTTGAGAGTTTAAAATTAGAGGTAGTGTATCAGTAGCATTGTCAGGATAGTGCAATCATTTCTGTTATTTTCTTTAGCTTAGCTCACTCCCTTCTCCTCATCATTTCGCAAATCATACAAAGTGTTAAATTGGGCACAACTACAATAACGTGTATTGCATATGCAATAAGATAAACTTACAGTAAAACAAGAATATTCATGTTGGAAGTAACTAGGAAAGAAGCCTTTCTTACACAACACTGCTATATTGACATTAACACATTAATGTGTATGCAAAAGTGGTATTTTAAATTCTTTCAGTTCATGTGTTGGTTGGAATATTTCAAGTGATTTGAATCGATGTTTGCAAGGCCTTCTGCTGTTGCTAAACAGCATCATTAATCCAGGATGGACAGGCGTTCTGTGAAATAAAATAAGCGTTTGTAAGTTGGTGTGTCCTAGAGAAGGTATTACTATATGTTATCAACACCTCCAGCATAGCTTGGGGACTTGTTCAAAATCGCCATGAGACTTCGGTCAGGGCTGAGACGGGAGCAGTCCTGGTGTTATAAAGTCACTGTCCAGAAAATTATGCCGGACTCCCTTTTACCAAAACCTTAATCAGTGACTGGCAATATCCTGTCCACCAGAGATCTCCCACCTCATTTCCTAGTGGTACACAGTGGCTTCTTGGAGACTGATCTAGCTTGAGATCGAACCATTCTTCTACCTTCACAATTAACCATATTGATATCGATTTACTTATGCTCTGACTGACAACTACAGGACCAATAGTACCCAGTCTCACCTTACAGCTCTAGCCACAGGTATTATCCAACTGCCATTGAGTGATCTGATCTAGAGATTAGTCTAAGACATGACACCGATCTCACTGAGACAGTACACTGATTTTGCCACCTGTGTTCTCTACCTATTTATAGAGAAATCTACTTGAAACTAGCTACTTTAGATTTCTCGCTCACAGCCTTGTGCAAAGGCCTATACATTTCTCCCTTGAGAATCCCCAAGGATACTTGATTGGTTACTAGCCGCTTATTGATCCAGCAACATAGCTGGGTAGCTTGTTCCAGACACCCGCCACCCTTTGTGTAAAGGAGTCTCTTGCTCTCAGCTCTGAATGCGCTTCCCATAGTTTCTACTTCTTTTGGTTCAATTTATTGTGAGGAAATCTATTGAGGCTTTGTAAGTGTAAAAAAGTGTATTTATGATGTGACTGTTTTTTGAATTTGAGGAAAACGATTCACGTTATTCATTCCTTTTCCATTTTTTGGAGGGGTGGGGGCATGCCTGACCTGCCAAGGAATGGGACAGTTTTTCAAATCTGACATGGGTATTCTTCCCCTTGAGGAGGAGGAACTTCATTTAGCAGGGGTTCAAATTAATCTTACTCAGGTTGTCAGTGTTAGCATTTCCCCATTTTGTGTGGACAGTTAATAGCAGGTTGCCAAAATAGTTAATAATTGCCTAACACACATGCTCTGGCTCAATAGTAGGGATCCAGGCTGTCCAGGTGTTAATATTAAATCTTTCAACTGAGGGGATGGCTTCCCACTTTTCCTGTTTCAATCTCTTCATGAGACATCTTGTTGGAAACCATTACTTGTGAACCTTTGTCTTTTGGATGCTTGCTTGTATCGGTGCTTTTTTTCCCCTGTTTCACTATCAGTGCCTCAGGTTTTATCTGTGCTTTTCCTGACCTGCGCCATTGGCAGACTGCGAGTGATGCTCATAGTACTTTCAAACGTTTTTCTAAACCTGTAATCAGTGCGAACTTACACAAGAACCTTTGGTGCCATGCCATTCAAATTGCACTCCAGTGGGATTTTATTGTAGATGCTACTGCTGTTCATACGGAGGAGCCATGCACCCATATATGTGTGAGATTTGTTTTTCTGGCTCAGATGAATCGGTCTCAGAAATGTTGGGCCAGCTGTCACATTAGGCATCCTGAAAAAAGAAGAACAGTTGCTGTTCTCCGTCTCATTTTATGATGACAGAAAGGAATTCTCCTTTCCAAAAATAAAAGTTAAAACAAAGTGTTTTTTTGTTTTGTTTTGGGTTTTTTTGGTGGGGGACAGTTCCCTCCACAGAGGTTATAACAGGGATCTGTTCCGCTTATATTCTTAAAATTATTTTCATAATAACTATGGAAAGTCATTTTCTTTTAGTACTGTTTGCAGCACTTTATAGATTTTCCTCATGTCTTTCTGTGTGCGTGTGAAATGCAGGGTATTGAACAAGATTGTTTATTCTTTCAGCTCCACCCTTGTGAAAGATTGAACCCAATCACAATCACTGTACAACCAGAATACTCATTAGTATATTAGCAGATACTGGTTACTTTGTATCTTTCATTTTAAGCATAATATTGAGTGATGTAGACTTGTCTGTGTTTCTGAATATTATGGAACATTTTGTTGTACTTTCTGCAATAGGGCTACAGCTCAAGACATTTTCATTTCTTTAGCTGATAAAGAGCCAAGGTGCTGCTGCTATTCTGAAAAGATATTTAGCACGGTGCTGAATTATGAAATACTTTTATAATGTTGCTTTTTGTTTTCAGGTTTATGACAAAATGCTTTACAGTAGTGAGACCAAGTAGACATGATCGAAATGGAGAAATGTTCTCCATTCCATGTTTGATTTAAAACGTATTGTGGCATTAACAGCAGTTTATATGTCCAAACCTGGTGCATCCTCTTTGACATTTACTTCATTGCAGACATACTTGATCCTGTATTTTTGTCGTTTTTCACGGATCTTGTTGTTACTTGGAGCTTTTTGTGTTTCCTGGGATTGTGTTTGCTTGTGATGTCATTTACCAAAGCAGACAGAGCTTCTGAAAACACCTGTCTGCTGCTGCCTCGTGGCGTTGTAAAACCATGAGAGAGGTCCTCCTCTCGTTGTGCATTTCTGACCCCACTGATCTCCAGATGCTTGGACGCCTGCCTGAGCTGCATTTGCATTCAAAAGAGGCTCTTGGTTTGCAAATAATAGTATCAGGATTTGTGGTGTGATTTCATGGCTGGGACACATAATTCTGTTTCCCACATCAATCGGCTGGGCTGGGAGGCTGTTTTTAGAGCCGTGTTGTGCAATGCAGAGAATTCCTGTTGAACACCCCTGCTGATTGTCTTTCATCCTTGCTCATTATCACTTGTAGCTTATAATTGCCTCGTCTCTTAATTAGCCTTCTGCTTCTCACACTGCAGGCTTGCTAGTACTGGTACAGCACTTACCGAACAGCCAAGCTGAAACGTACTAAAAGTATTCTGTGTCATTTCCTTCACTGAACTTTACTCTGGGAAACAATGGAGTGTGGTGGAATCCAATGAATTGCTGTGAAGTGCAGGGAGGTTTTTGTGGCTGTTATTTTTATTTTTGTTTAGAGGCACTGCAACTTCAATAGCTTTTAAAGTGTGTTCATTAAGTCATCATCGAGATTACTTGTATTTTCATGTACATGCTTGCGCTCGTGGACTTTTTTCCAGGTTGTACTGGACATTGTCAGGGGTAGCATTTTCCCCACTGTTAGAAAGAGGCAGAGGGGGAAGTGAAATGATCAAGTCTAACATCTAAACTACATGCACGTTCAGTAGTTTGTTATATCGTGAGGAATGCATTGTTTTCCTGGATTTTAAAGTCTATGTCATGTAATTAAATTCTAAGGAATTTTGGAGTGCACCACTGTGTTTCTCTTTTTGCTGATAGAAGCTGAACTCCATCACCCTGCACCTTGTTAATTTTGAAGGACTGTGCATCCCCATCCTTTTATCCCATTCTTTTATTTTATCTACCAGCCACACCCAGAATAAACCTGTACAGTAGATCATCAATAATTCTGTGATATTCTGTGGTTTTCAACATTTTTTCCTCAGTATATACTGTATTACAGGCTCAGCATTGTACTTTTGTGCCATGTGGCTTAAGTACACATGAGACTGTAACAAAGTGAATACTAGCATAAATACAGCTGTTTGGGAATAATGTAAGTTTGATAGAGATGTGAGGCATGAATGTCTCTGTGTGAAGAGTGGTGTTACTCACAGAAGACAGAAAGCACAATTGGTGCAGGTTGACTAGTCTCTTTAACTCTACTGAATGTGATGGATTCTGCATCTTCTTTTATCAGTATCAAGCCTGGTGCCTTGTTCCAGTGTTCTTCTGAATGAAGTAATGAAGCTGATGGGCTGTACTCTATCTGAGAGCTGTATTGGGTGTAACGCTCATGTTCCTCCCCATCCTGCTTCTGGTAGCTTTTTCAGATGTCATGTTTGGCTGCAATAATTACATAGCAATGAAAACCAGCTGCTACAGTGGAAACAACCGCAGATATTCACACAGAATGCATATATACCAAGAGATCTAAGACTGTGCACAAGGAAAACACAGAAAACATGAATGGCTCCTTTGAATGATGCTAGTTTGTGTTGTTTTTTTGCATTACTCAGAAACCATTTTCAAGAGTTTGTACCCTCTTGTGCTATAATACCTTTATCTGGAACCTACTCCTGCTATAAAGCTTTGTGAATACAGGACAGGGCCTTTACGCTGTTAGTCTGAGATCATCTTAAAATGTGCTGTGGGCCTTGTTCCATTTAGCATGTGATAAAAGGGCATCTTGATTTTTTCTGTTTGTGTTTCAACCAGGATGGGTTGCTGCATTGCTGCTTCAGCAATCAGTGTTCCTCATGAGAGCCTGGAATCAGCAGTAGGTGAAGGAGGTGCCCCAGGGCTGGGTACAGCCTGTCTTTTTACCCACTGACATCAGCCTAGCAGGGCCTGGTTGTCATACCTGAGTGCTGGAATGCATTGTGATAT